AGAAATATTTGACATATATCTGGAAATAAAGTCTTTTGAAATCTATAAGGCCAAATTTAGATCACTGTACACATTTTATACCTAAAGATTTACATCATCATCATCATCATCATCATCATCATTATTCATATCCTGCCTTTTCTCTGAGAGCTTGAAGGGACTTGCAAGGGATCTCCACAATAACCCCTTGGGGATGGTGTGACAGAGATTGATTGGCCCAATGTTACTGAGTAAACACCCTAATTGAATGAAGATTTAAACCTGGTCTCCCAAGTCCAACCCTTTAACCACAACACTGCTCATGCTTAAAGTGCAGAAAAAAGTGGGATTTTAAAAACTTTTCTCTCTTTCAGTAGTAAGCCAATGTGCTATTTTTAGAAAAACCACTTCCATTTAAAAAAAAACTTATTATACATACAGCCCAAGACCATCAGAAATACATTGTCCACAGTACTTTGGATCCTGCATTCGGTAATTTAAAGCAAGATTACACTGGATATTGGGTGTTACTGCATTTCCTCCCATGGGAATAAATACTATTATGTCAATTTTAGAAAAAGATGACTCCTACCGTCATCTTATTAGCACTTATAATTAGCAGCAACGAAACCTGCATCTGTTATGGAGCATCATTATAACTGGAGCAGCTGGAATTTGTAACTTCACTAGGTTTTTAAAACATTTATTTTAAGACATTTTGCTGGGCTAAAAGGCCTTAAATTGGACTAGATTACAGTGGAGCAATAGATCAAAAAGAAAGAGAATCAGTGGGACTCATTCACAGTATGACCAGTTGCTAAATAATTCACTGTTGCACTTTACAAACAAAAGTATTTAATGACTTGCAACTTTGGAAAAAGTGTTCAAATATTGATCTGGAACTCCCTTGCCTATTATGGGAGCATTCTCAACCAGCATGGATGGCAAAATTATGAGAGTTGAAGTCCAGTACATTTAGAGCAGTCTTTTTCAAACTTGGCAAGTTTAAATGTGTAGACTTCAACTCCCAGAATTCCCCAGCCAGCATGCTGGCTGGGGAATTCTGGGAG